ATATGCATGTGCTCATTTTCTTGACTTTTTCTTCTCTCTCCTCTCCTCTTCCTTGTCTCCCTCCCCTTTCTTTCCCATACTCCTCTTATCCATTAATCATTATCTCTTTTTACATCCTTACCTCACCTCGTGTCTCTCTTCTCCTCTTCTCTTCTCTCCTTCCCTCCCTATATTTATACTCTCATTTCTCCTCAAATCATTCAACTATATATATAGACTTTTGCAAGCCTTCTTTTTTATTCTTTTGGTCATTATTTATCAATGTACAGACATTTTTCTTTCCTGTCTTTTTTAAGGTGAGTGAAAATACTTGAAAAAAAATCTATACTTTTATATCTTATAAAACAAAGCACAGTTACTAGTTTTAAGCTGACTTGATGACAGGCGATGCTGCTTTGAAACGTTTCTTTTGTACAATTGCAATTTAGATGTTATGGTGGGCCTGTATGGTCTGAAATTATCTTATAGATATATGATCATTGGGTACAGTTCCTCCTCTTGATTAGGAATAAATCACTGATATGAATTACACATATTTCTCATCATTTGCTAACTGAGACAGGTCTATTGGACAAAATTTATTTTATCCTTATTTTATTTTCCCTTCATTTTTAAAGGGTATGTTTTGATCTTGCAGATGTTATTTTATATCTGAAGCTTTCTGATTACTGTAATAAGTTTAATCAGTTTTGATATTCATGAGGATGGTTTGTACTACAATAGCACTAGTGGAATCAAAATTCACCCTATGTTTCTTAAATTGGATTGTCTGTAATAAATTTAAGCCATAGGAAGTACATATACCAATTATGGTGTGGAGTATGTTTAAATGATGCTAGTGCTAATGGAGATTTCTGTATATTTGTATTTTTGAGTCGACAAATTTTCTCTTACGGCTCTTAAGATACCAACTAGTGAAGTGAAAGAACTAGCTGTTCTTTCACTTCAGACAGCAATTGGAAGCCTTATTGCTGAAGGAGAAGTTAAGGGTCTAAGAAGACAAATATGCCACTAACCTTCATAGCACTCCCTCATCTTCCTCATAAGTATTTCAGGGACATGATGCATATTTAATTACACATTGATATTTTGCCTTGCTCATATGCCCTGCTCATTGCATACAACAACAAATACTAGATGGTAATGACAATAAATTTCTGTAAGTGAAATGGAAGAAATAACACCAATGAAAATACTTTTCTTTTACCCTGAAGAGTGAAAAGAAGTTGAGTGTAATATTGGATATTTATATTAATGGTGACTAATTTCCCTGGTATTTCTTTATGGGATTAAGGTCACAATAATTACTTGGAAAGAACAGGAAAGTGATAATGCATAACCCTGTAAACATGTACTGAAAATTCATGATAAATGGGCCAGTTATATGGAACAAAGAAAAAGCAATTTTATTTAATGGAAAAAATACAACTAATTCTTATACAAACAATGATTGTATAGAGCAAAGAATATGTCCATGCCCAAGAAGTAATAATCTTCTATAACATATAAATGCACAAATCATAGAATAGGATATGTTTTTTGTAAACATATGACCAGTCAATTTTTTTGAGTGTCTTGTGCAGTTTAATGAAAAGGAGTTGAGCAAGATCCCAAAATTAATTCTTATCTGTGCCCTTACTACCTCCAGTAGAGTATTGCTGACAAAGAGTTTCATTCGCCTTTCTATTTTTGCAGGGTAGAAAATGTAACAGTATCACTTAAATCATCAACCCATCCAGAGTCATCTTACTCTTTGTCAGCAGATTTTTCATGATTATTTAATAATATTTATCACAAAAAAAAAAAAACACAAAGTTAGGGAACTTTTACTTTTAGGTTAATTACAAGACCACTGGAGGATGAGAACTAGAAGCCTAGAAGGCTGCTGATAAGTGTTATGACAAGCTTATCACTTACACATAGGTGATGAAAAAGTCCTCTGTGTGATACAAAGAAGTGCAAGTAATAATTAATACAATTTATTGTTTCTGCAAAAGTATATATAAGGCTAAGTAGATACTTCTCTGGGTGGTTTATTAAAAGCAGTAAGAAAGAATACCAGTTAACATTACCTTAGTCATAAAACCCACACAGATAGTTAAACTTAAATTTATATATGTATGGCTGTGTTGATGTGTGTGTATGCATGACTTGATTATAACTAGGCTCCCTTTTATCATAAACTCATTGTATGCACAAAAGACACAATTGAATTGTACACTTCTTTCACCTCCTCCATTACCTTCCTCATTCACAATTTTCTTCCTCTTTATTTTCTCATCCCCCCCCCCCCATCCCTTGGCCGTTGTTGTCGTGGGGGGCTTAGGAGACGGAGACTGAGACTCAGTGTAGAGATCTCCCCCTGCCTGGGGCCTCAGCCCTCGACTCAAATAATTTTGCATGGCCTTTTCCCCTTCCAGCTCTTTCGTTTCCATCCCTTCTCCAACCCCTTCTACTATCTACTTCCTAAGGTGTAAGAGCCGCGCTGAAAGGATGAAATTCTGACATTGTGCCAGTCCTGAACGGCCTGAGGGAATCATGGGCACGGTATTCCCCGTTTTTTTGTTTTGTTTTGCCCTTACCCCTCGAGGAGACCCTGAGGGGTGGACTGTTTATTTCCCCAATATAGCCAAGGCTTTTCATGGCCAGTAATGAAGAAGTAATACCCATATTAGAGGCAATGAGGCTTGCCCCTTCATCAAATAGCCCACCAATTCAAACTCTCGGCTCCCCGACGCCAGGCTCTCCTTTGACCATGACTCTGAACACTACAAGTACTACCCACTCCTCAATGCCTACTAGTGCATTATCCACCCAAGTCGAGACTCCTACTCTCCCAACTTCATCAACTCCATCAACTCTACCCCCATAGCCTTCTTCACCAATCACCTCATCTTCCCTTATTACTACCTTACAGCCTTATTCTCCTTCTCCGTAATACTACCCCCCTCAACAATACTCCCTCCTCCAATCGTCCCGTCCTTCTACCACCCACAACTCTACCAAAATCTTAAATACTCTATTTAGCCCAGCCAAATGAGACCGATTTTTCGTGATCCCACCTACAGCTCCTTACTCAGGCAACACTCTCCTCTTTCAACAATGTCTCCAAGAGGTGGTGGGCAGTTCCCTTCCGTACCCGCCCCGTTCGTTCCCGTCTCGTTACAGTTACATCTGAAACTGAAGCTATAGCATTATCAAATCTAACTGATTTCTCTGGCAACCCCATTCCTGCAGAACCTCATCCAACTCTTAGTACTTGTACTGGAACTGTCTATATCTCCCCAGCAAGTTGCCCTATAGAATCGATTGGTCAGGTTGTAGAGAGTACTTACTTGGCTGCCTCAAAGATATGATATCAACACAATGCTACTCCATTCCTACTAGAGGTCATCGAAAGAACCCCCCCAACATTGCCAAAATTACTTTCCGTACACATGACCTTCCACTTCAAATCTACATTGGTGGACTGTTCGACCATACCAACCTCCTCCCCGTCAATATAAAAACTGGTAGCGCTTTGGACATGTTGCCAAACACTACCGTTCCACAGACCGATACCCCCTTTGTGCCCAAGCCGGTCATACCGATCAAAGTGCCGTGCACCAACACGCACATGTGCTAACTGCGGTGGCCCCCATAATGTATTTTATAGAGGCTGTCCTACTTACAAGTTGGAGTCTGAGGTAGCAACTCCCAGATACAAAAATGGTCTCACTGCGTGACGCCAGACATAAAGTGCGCCGACTTGGTTTCTCTCATACTCCCTACTCTTGTAATGTCACTCGCTCTGCCCCTCCACTTCCAACCCAGGATATTCCTACACCCTCCCCTATACCTACTTACTTTTCCACTTACACTTCTACCTCCTACCTTCCACTGTCAAATTCTTTTGCCACGCTAAATCCAGACACTCCAATCTCAACTACTGCCCCAACACCGTCCCCTCTTCCTACCCGTACTACCCGCAGCAGACAGACTAAACGTTCCACCCCTTCTACCACACACTCACCTCCACCTACCTTTACCTTTATTCCTCAGACACCAGTCTCCTCTTCCCCTCTTCATAAGAAAACCACTGGAGAAACCATAAAAGCTATATGCTTCAGACAGATTTCCACAACTCATACACCCTCCACATTTGAAATGACTGCCGATAACCATCCTCCTACTCATATCCGCCCTACACCCCTTCCTCCTGCTCCCTCCCAGCACAACCCCTCAACTCCGTCTACTACCGATATCAATCCTCCTCCTACTCATATTCCCCCTACACCACTTCCTCCTACTCCCTCCCAACAAAACCCATCTCTCTCAACTCCAACTACTTCCGATATCCATCCTCCCGACACTCCTCCTCCTCCTACTCATACCCTTACACCACTTCCTCCAACTCCCTCCCAACATAACCCCCCTTCAACTGCAACTACACGTACATTCACCATCCCTCCATCCCCTCTATCATTTCCACTCCCTCCTGTATACACACGTGAAACCCTTATGTAATTCCCTTACCTAGACCCACCATTCCCACATCATCTCCATTACCCATCTTTAACCTTTCAAGACTACTCCAGATAGGTGACGCATAACAACTATCACCCTTCACCCCTCCTTTAATATACTTTCCTATAGTGATATGTGACCTTAGATGTCTAGCTCATTTATTTTGCTTTTTAACCATTAACCATTTCTCATCCTATCCCCATTCTCGAGTTCCACTTTTCCCACTACCCATTCTTTACTTCTTCTCCTGCCATACAATATTTGAAGTTGAACATGTCTTTGTAGACTGAATTTGAGTCTTCTATTTTCTCATTTTGTATAAGATTAAAAATAATTGTTTTTAATGCTAAATAAATATGAGAAAAATAAACAGAATATACACATATATGAATTTCTCATTAGTGATATTTATTTTGGCAATACTAGGTTTGTGGTAAACTTTCAAAACCTTTTGAGAATTCACCTATATATATGAAAGAATATAAAGAGAACAGAGAACAGTAAAATAATAAATGAGAACAGTTATAATATGATATGCCGGTTCATGATAATTTTAGTTATTGTTCAGCATCAGTCAGAAATGTACCAGTATACATAGACCACTGAAAACGCTAAATAATAAAAAACAAGAAAAATATATGAGAATATAAGAAAGTATATAAAGAGCAACAGACTAATGGCTAAAAAAAGTTGTAATGAAATGAATGGAAAATGAATAAGAGAAAATCTCATAGCATGAGAAGTATGGACAGGGGAGGGGTCATACAACCCCCCCTAACCTACCATGCTCTTTGTAATTATGTTTTCATTCATTCTCTCTTTCTCTATCTCCCCCCTCCCTTTCTCTATCTCCGCCCCCCCCCCTCTCTCTCTCTCTCTCTCTCTCTCTCTCTCTCTCTCTCTCTCTCTCTCTCCTCTCTCTCTCTCTCTCTCTCTCTCTCTCTCTCTCTCTCTCTCTCTCTCTCTCTCTCTCTCTCTCTCTCTATATATATATATATATATATATATATTCTCCTCTCTCTCTCTCTCTCTCTCTCTCTCTATTAGATATATATATATATATATATATCTCCCTATCTCTATCTCTCTCTCTATATATATAAGCCTCTCTCTCTCTCTCTCTCTCTCTCTCTCTCTCTCTCTCTCTCTGGTCTCTCTCTCTCTCTCTCTCTCTCTCTCTCTCTCTCTCTCTCTCTCTCTCTCTCTCTCACAGGGTAACTGTGTAAAAGGAAAAACAACGGATAATCTGAAAATGGTCCGTAAAATGTTTAACAGCGCTCCATAAAATTTGGGGCGTAGACTTAGTGAAACGTGGATCCACAGTCCCAAGATTTTCATAACGGTGAAAACGGACAAAACTCTGATTTCTGCACCTTTATCATACAGGGATTTCTACCACCCCTGCAATATATAATCTCTATACAATGGAGGCTGCTAATGTGCTTACTTGACATAAAATCGATATATTCTGTAGAAAGGCGGTATTCATAAAATAAGAAATATTGGCACTCGGTAACTTCTCATTTAATGATTGTAAATAAATAAAAAAAAAGAGATGGCTAAGTAGAAATCATTACCGTATGAAATTATGGCTAAATCATTGATATAGTTTTTCTCCTGTGAAAAATCCTCGATATTCTTGTCGCCTAGCTAATTTTCTTTTCCTTTGTATTCATAAACGAGCAAG